GAGGGGGGGGAGAGACAGAAGAGACGAGCGGGGCGAGACCGACGAGACGAGCGGGGCGAGACCGACGAGACGAGCGGGGCGAGACCGACGAGACGAGCGAGGAGAGACAGACGAGACGAGCGGGGCGAGACCGATGAGATGAGGGAGGCGAGACAGACGAGAAGAGCGGGGCGAGAGACAGACGAGACGAGCGGGGCGAGAGACAGACGAGAAGAGCGAGGCGAGACAGACGAGACGAGACGAGAAGAAGAGTGAGGCGAGACAGACAAGACGATCGCGGATGATTTAGTTTCGAAACAAAATGCAAAAGCGCCTGTTTGGCAATATTTTGGATCTTTTAAAAAGCCTGTTGACTTCTGACGTTTATCTGATTTTGGAAGTATTTTTAAACATTTGTTTCTTATTTAATTGGTTCCACAGTGTTTGCTGATTTTTACTTTATTTAAACTTTGTGTCATTTATTTATTTTATTTGACATCAAGGTGTACGCCGTGCCTCCAAGCTTTCTTATTCGTTTTGCTAATAACCGTTCTACGTTTCTTATTTATTTGGTTATATACATGTTTACTTAGCCTATTTCCAGTTTTGTATACCTATTTAAACTTTATGTAAGTTATTTGTTATTTTATATTAGACATAGCCTGCCCTATAGCATGCTGTATTTGTATTGTTAATAAAAGTTCTATGTTTTATATATATAGGCTAAAGTGAGTTTGACGTTGTATTTTGTTGTTGCATTCAAGCAATTGACACGAACTGCCACTAATTCGAAAGTGAAAGTAAAAAGCGCACAGCACTTTTAAGTTATTTAAAAGCGAAGGAAAGTGAGGAAAAGAGGGACAATTCAAACGAACTAAAAACTAACAATTGCTTTACTCCGAATTGTAACCGAATTTGAAAGTGAAAGTAAAATGCGCAGGCTGCTTTTACAAGCTATTTAAAAGCGAAGGAAAGCGAGGAAAAGAGGGAACGCCCCGCGGTGATACCAGTATTACCGGTGTTGTCACACGTCGATTAGCCGGTGGGAGAATCACCGCCACAACCCTAGCAAAGACGCCAATATAACGGTTTGTAAACAATGCCATGTAACGTCACATTTACCTCAGAAAAACATATTCCGTGACCATAAACCCATTAGTCAGATAGAAAAATAAACTGTACAGAGGGCATGTTATTAAATATATGCACCATATAACATTTACCTTGTCATTTTTACTGTTCTTCAGTGTTTCATTTATGTTTGACTAAATCCATCAAGTTTTATGACAGCCACCATTTAAATGTTTATAGCCAATAACAAAAACGAATTGAAGTAGAAATATTATTATGTAATTATAACTGTATTATTTTTAAAATATTTTTTTTAGCAGTTGCGTAGCCTACAAATCAGTTTTAACCTTCAATATTATAGTAATGTAGTACTAACTGGCTCTCATGTATGTTTTACAGCATTAGTTTTAGAGATTGTTTTTCCTTGAGAAAATTTGGCATGTACTGTACCTGATATATATCCAACATAATCGATATTGAATCTAATCCCAGCCCTACTCTCAAATGTTAGTCTGGAGCTCTGGACACCATTTTTGAGGATAACTTTGTATTAAATCAGAAAACAAAGACTCCAGGAAAAACATAAATTAAATTGAAAACACCATACATTAAAAGCATCTTACTCTGTAGACATTAATTAGGAAAGGAAAGCATTTAATTCCCCATCAGTTGCAAAAGAATATCATGATAAATATTGATAGCGTATGATATGGAAAAAATGTGATTTAATAAATCAAGCAGGCCTTATTCGTTACTCCTGCATTATTATTATTATTACTACTATATGTCATAACACTGGGGTTAAGAGATTAAAGCATGCCTTCAGATGTCTGCCTCTGCTGATCTGTCGTTCACTCGATCACATTCACACATTCATCACGCCACACATGCCATAAACTCGTTCCACAGCGCGCTCACGGAGCATAATAAAACATGTACTCACCATTAACACAATCCTCTCATGAATGTCGATCTGCGTCGATATTTCGCGAGTGCTCCGACACCGCTACACCAGCCCCGCTACACGGCTAACGCGGCTAACGCGACGCACCACGCCACAGTGACGCTACACGGCTAACGCGACGCACCACGCCACAGTGACGCTACACGGCTAACGCGACGCACCACGCCACAGTGACGTAGGTAGGGTGCGTGCGAATGTCCAAAACGCCTCTTTTTCTTTTTTCTGCATGTGAACATAGGCTATATAGCAACAAGAGAATTACAACGTTGCATATAAATGCCATCAGTACACATTATTAAATAAAAGTAAAATAATAATTTCGCCAGAGGAATAAAGAGAGAGAGAAAAAAACACAAATAATGAAGACGGTACAGTTTACTTGTCTATTTCAAATTTGCAGATAATATTAGAAGTCCTGAGAGCTTTTTTTTTCATTTATATATACCATATTGCAGTATTGTTTAAATTCGCTGATCAAATGAAAAAAAAGATACTTCCCCATTACAGCCAGTAATAGAGTACTATACACTTCGTCCTTTTCTATCCCATAATCATTAACATATATATCATATCAGACCCACCCAGTTTAACAGCTGTATTAAGTTTTCTTGTACTGAAATTCTCGACATCAACCCAAGATATCTTTGTATAAATGCAATGAAAAAATTGTTTCTTTTTCATTACTACAAAACTCACAAGAACAGTCAATATTCAATTTAAAATGTTCCAATACATGTTTCACTGGATACATTCTATGCAATATTTTATACGAAACTTCCTTTCCTTTGTTATTAACAAAGAATTGATCAACCATTCTCCAAGCCTCATGCCAATTTAAATCTCCAAATATTGATGACCAGAAAAATCCAGCTGGAGGATATGTAACATCATTTACTACATTTCTAAGTTGTTTTTAAAATAGTAATATTTCCAATAAAAATTGTATTAGTTATATAGTCTAGATTAGGGTTTTTACTGCATTCATTTAAATAATATATGTTTGGTTAGTCAGTTGAAGAATAGTGATGGATACTGTGTAATCCAATTAATTTTAAATACTAAATAAATATTGTTTAGGGTATCATAATTAAATACCTCCAGGGGCCCGTTCTTCATACGTGGCTAGCTCAGTTAGCTGGATGTGACTGTTGATGATTTGGCCTGATCTTGGATTGTTTGGTTCTTCGAAGCTCATTCTGGAGTTGCTGTCATAGCAACAGATCCGTAAACTTAAACCGGCTCGGGAGCAGCTTATTTAATGTAAACAGGATTAGATGGCATCTTTTTAAAGGGTTCATATGATGTTGCTAAAAAGAACATTATGTTGTGTATTTGGAGTAATCAAATGTGTTTATGCGGTTTAAGGTAAAAAAAACACATTATTTTCCACATACTGTACATTATTGTTTCTCCTCTATGCCCCGCCTTTCTGAAAAGCGTCGATTTTTACAAAGCTCATCGGTCTGAAAAGCGAGGTGTGCTGTGATTGGCCAGCTATCCAGTGCGTTGTGATTGGCCGAATACCTCAAGCGTGTGACGGAAATGTTACGCCCCTCACCATACTGTGATGATGCCCTGTCTGGCCGGAGCGACGAGACAAAAACATTAAAACCCATTATAAACCAGGCATTTGTTGCATCCAGTGGTGACATAATTACTGATTATAATGACTTATACTGTCTATTTACACGTTGCATTGCATTGCATCGTGCCGCGTAAATATAACAATCTGTCTGCATTTGTGATCGGAGAAATGACAAACAACAAGTGCTACTCTACTGCCCAAAACTCGCGTTTGAATCATCAGTGGCAAATCCTTTATAGATGAAAACATACTTACAGTCTGTGAGTCAGAACAGCCGGCATTGTAGTCTACTCTCCCAGGATCAGGAAACAGTCCTCCATAAAATGTGCTGCACACATCTGAATATTTGGGTTAAACTGTTCTGGAACAGTGTTGTAAATACAACTTAACCACTGATTTCTAGTCGTGTCCTCTTTTGGAAGATCAAACAAAGTAGTTTCGCTTTCACAACGAAAAACACAGCGGCCTAGCATGAGCAGAAGCACCGGCTTAGCGTGCACTGAGGCCGGGATAGAGTGAGCAGGCTGGACTCCGCTTTGTCCACGGTGAAAGTTGATGTATT